TAATGATAAGACTAGGAAAAAAAAGGTAGCTGGAGAATCTCTCAGCCTGAAAAAAGCTGAGCTGCTGTATTGTCCATCCCTGCAAATGGATACTGTTTCCTGGTCCATAGGCCTAGCCTTTCCATTAGTCTGAACATTGTAAACATTTCAGATTTGAAATGGCTGCTCACTTATTTTTCAATTACAGCACTGCAACTAGCTATAGTAACATTTTATTTCTGTATTTCATTCGGTTATATATATTATTCAACTTGTCAATGCATGTAAACTTAAAGATGTTCAAAGGATATCCTGTTTGCACGGTATTCTGAAATGAAGTTAGCAATCTTTTCTATACATGAATCAGTACTAGATACACATGATGTGGAGGTTGTTACTATCTCCTTAAAGAAAAAATGAATCAGGTGACCATACCCGGCTTCTTGATTTTTGACACAAGAAGAGTTACAGCTAAAGCTGTTCTACTAGACTACTGTGTCTTGTCATCTGCACTTCTGACTCCATTTTTACAGGAGATGGGGAAGTGCATGGGTTAAGTATATTGTCTGTCAGTATCCTAAAGTGGCAAGCACAGTCCTAACTTACTGTAAAATATAAACATATTTTTACATCAGGTATTTGGTACCAGATTTTTTTTTCTGATGCCATTTATTATGAAGAAATTGTGACCAATTTGGTGGACACCACTTTAATGGTGTTGTAGCAATGTGTTTAAGTACCTCATATTTGGTGATGGTGGTTACTGGTTTTATCAGCAATTTAGCAGAATCTCCCAATTCTTCAGTATCTGAATTGTACTCCAGGTAAACAGCCTCTTAAACCCCCTCCCCTTTTTTTGGCATTGTACTTCAAGCAAAATTAAAACCTACCTAACAGCAATCTAACAACTTTGTAAATTAGTGTTTGATGTGTGTCAAACAAGGAAGAGTAGAAGGTGCTGCCTCTGAAAGGCGGTGTTGCAGGATGAAGCTACAAAAAGAACAGTGTATGTGTTTCAGAAAAGCTCTTCTGACTCGCTTTGATAAACTTTGGCTGAACCTTGTTGATTTGTTTGGTTTCTCTTTAGCAGTTTCCCCTGCATTCAGCTGCTGTTTTACAGGAATAGGTCTTAAAATTACAAATTATGAATCCTAGATCTGAGGACAAACTTGCTTGAAACTCTAGGGACAATAGCAATGCTTAACTATTTGATAGAATAGACTTTTATGTGTAGGAGAAGAGCACATTTTTACTGACTTCTATGTTCTAATTTATCTTTGGCTATTGTTCGAAAGCTCATGTGTTAGGATTTGAAGATGACAGTATACCCTGATATATACCACAAACAGCTGGTATTCTTCCTGATGTCAGTATTAAAATATTTCATTGATGTCCTGACTCTTTTCTAGAAGTTCTATATTCTTTGTCCTTGTTTACCAGCATGTATGTATAAGCATGCTTTTCGTGCAGGACTACACTTTCAAGTGTGGTTACACATGGTTTTCACACATCCTCTAACCACATGTAAAACATGTTGTTAGTTTTTCCTATTCCATACTTCCTACTGGTGACAATGGGAAAAGGAAATGATTATTGATTTAAGTAATGAAATCCCCATTGTATTCAAACTGACGGACAACATTTAGTTTCCTTTTCCTGCTTGTTTCAAGTGTTTGTCTTTAAGACATATTCAAGAGTATAGTCCATATGATGTACAATATATCTTCAATCTAGCAATTCTAACCAGATATGGTAGCACTTTTCTTAATCTTTTCATTAAGAGCATCCATTATGTGCTCTCTCACTACAGTAATTTTAGTCTGCAAAAGGACTGTAATCTTGATATGAAGCATTCATGCTATATGTACATTTCAGTTATAACTGTGAAATGTAAGTACACATAGGAAATACACATTAGGCAAAAAGATGACATTTCTAATCTCTCCTTCTGGAAGAGGTAATGGAACCCTACAGGCAGTCTCTAATTTCTAAATACAGCAATACAGTTACCCTGCAAGGTAGCACTCAGGGTAGACGAGACACAAGGACTTTTGAGCGGATTGATGAGGGAAAATCCAAGTAAGTTTGAATGCTGACACTTTTATCTGGAAGTATGCAATAAAATGGAAATTAAGACTAATGAATATAGAACTGTGGGTAGCAAGTTTGTCCTGACTTTTCGACCAACCTTTTTTTTTTCCTCTTCAAGTGTCCATTTCTCCTCACATGGGGTTAACCTAGTCTGTCTTTTTGTGAAAAATAGCCAACACTATTGTATTAATGCTTATGTGACCTAGCTGCCAGTAACACTAAATCCACCTATAACATAACATTCATGCTTCTAGTAGCAGCATGACAGCAAGGTTTATATTAAAGATAGTATGAGTTGTGTAGCTTTTGATAATGAAGATGTCAGTGTAACATATGATTAGGAGAAAATGAAAAGGGTTTTCTGCATATGTTCCATGTGGAAACTTCTGTGTATTGGAGTTTTACACACCTATAAAGCAAGAGTGTATTTATGTGAAAGTGTACGTTGACTTGGTCCAACATACTAAGTTTTACCAGTCCAATAGAACTCATGTTCTTGCCTTCAAAATATTTTGTTGGACATATTTTAAGCAATGCACATCTAAAGTATCTGAGCACTTAGTTTCATTAAATAACACAAGCCTAAAAACCTTTTTGTAAGGCAAAATTATAAATTATTTAATCTTTGTTTTAATTAGATTTATTTTTAAATAAGAATGCCTTTTGCAGCCATTTTATGGAATATACTTGGCTTGGGTCAATTAATTTAAAAAAATGTTCATATCACAATTGTGGCAATGGTTAAATGAGCAGCAATTATTTGTTTTTACATGAAACATTTTTTATTTGAAAAGGTACTGTCAGAAATTGTAGAACAAGCACATAATAGAGTCCGGTTGAAAAGAGTAGCTAAATAATGGCTACAACAAATTCAGGGGAAAACTTGAGAACAGTTGCATTCCTGTAGGATTTTTCTTATGAATAATGCATGATTCAGACTTGTCAGGAAGCCATTATGGTTTTTGCCATGGTTATTTAACACCTGCCCACAAGGCTAAATCTATGCAGTTCATTCACTTTGAACACTGCTGCTGCAGCTATTTGCAGTAAATGTGATATACTGTGCTGCAATCAGTGAACAACTTGCTGCTTAATGTTAGATTTATACTGACCTAGACTTGTGTATGTTTCAACTCTAGTTTGTTTGGAAATAACCAGAATAAAGAATGTGTTTAATGTAGTCATTTCCTCCTTCAGTGTTAAATGTTAAGATACTGTACCTAATGCTTCTGTGGTTTGTCTATTCATCATGTTAACTGTTCTTTTAAACTGACGGCACAGATAACTTAACAAAAATGAAATAAATAGCCTTGATATGAGTGCTTGAACTGTTTTGATATGAGTTAATATTTTTGGAGCAGTGTTGGTATCTTGTTTTGCACATTATGATGATTCTTTACCTGCAGCATAGTTTGAGTATACTGTACAGAACAGCATATAATCACATCCAGTGATCAGATTTCAACTGTTATAATGGATGCAGATAGTTAGCATCTATAAAAATAGCCAACTGCTTAATTTTAAAAAGTCTAACTTTTAAAACAATATTTCCTCAAATTAGAAATCAACCCCTTTTCCTGTAGCACATTTTCCCCTTCACATTGTTGTTACCCTTCCATGTGGTTCTAGAGATGTGTTTTTAAGTTTGAAAGTGGAAGCACATTTGTGGGTGGGGTGAGGGGATGGGATGAGGAAATACACTTTGGAAGGGAGTGTAGTCTTGTGGCTAGAACGCACAAGTTGGAGGAGTCTTAAGTTGTCTCTGTTCTTTGATCTATGGTGGGGGTATCGACTCAAAGCCCATGGGCCATCTGTGACCCAAGCAGTTCCACAATCTGACCTTTGTACGGCTGCTGGCATGTGAGTTCCTGAGGGGGATGTCCATACCAATGTTCCCTCTACATTTTTCTATCCATGTGAGGAATAAGTTTTTTGTTAATGTTCACCAAGGCATGTGCAGATTTGTACCACCAGTAGAAACACATGGGCTATGTCTACACTGGCCCCTTTTCCGGAAGGGGCATGTTAATTTCAGAGATCGCAATAGGGAAATCCGCGGGGGATTTAAATATCCCCCGCGGCATTTAAATAAAAATGTCCGCCGCTTTTTTCCGGCTTTTAGAAAAGCCGGAAAAGAGCGTCTACACGGAGGATCTTATTCCTACTTTGAATAAGATCCTCCGGAAAAGGGTGCTTTTTCCGGAGGATCGGGGCCAGTGTAGACGCTCTTTTCCGGCTTTTCTAAAAGCCGGAAAAAAGCGGCGGACATTTTTATTTAAATGCCGCGGGGGATATTTAAATCCCCCGCGGATTTCCCTATTGCGATCTCTGAAATTAACATGCCCCTTCCGGAAAAGGGGCCAGTGTAAACGTAGCCCTCTTGTTTAGAGCAAGACTCATTTCCTCTGTGTTCTCTCGTGGGTCATTGTTTGTTTTTTCAGTGCACAGCATATAGCTGGAAATATTTTTTTTCCTTCCAGCACAGTGCTTTTCATTGATTACTCTGGACAATCAATATCTTTGGTACTCTTGATTGCTTTCCTGTTTTGAGTTATTGCAGCTTCTATAACTACATGTACTCGGGGGTTTTTTTAGTTGACTGGTTTTTCAAAATGGCATGGGCATTGCATAATACGGCAGCCACCCATGATATGTCATACACTGATACACCATCATTGGTATGGTTTCTATTTTTTAAAGGGATAGTACTTAGTCGGCTACTCTCACAAACCTCCCCTGTGAAGACCTATGTTAGGAACACTAGAATATGTACCCACAGTGCTCTGGTACTGCAGTGATTACAGGCAATATTGTGTATGGTCTAGAGCAGCAGTGTGTCAGAAACAAAATGGCTAAAATGG